CCATGCTGATTTTTTTTCTTTTTTTTCACGTTATTTAGTGCGTCAATTTCTCTCTTTTCTGTCTTTCTTGTTTTTAAGATCATTTAGAATAAATAAGTCACGTGTTTCCATTTAGTTTTCCATTCCTGCCTAAATCCGGTTCAGGTTGGTGGCGTCATCAGGTTGACATTTTCCCAGGCCTTTAGCAAGGACTAATAGAGAGGCATGTAAGGTAGCTGAGATCCAAATCATAGTTTTTCTAAGGTTTGTTGTAAAAAAAAAAAAAGAAAAGTTTTTAGCTGTACAATCAGTAATGATCCAAACTAGGCAACATGGGGAATAAAGAGTCAAGGTTCTGTCTCCGTCTCCAAAATGGTGGCCTTTTAAAAATTGAAGAATGTGAATTATCTGAAACCGCAAAACGACGAAGATGAGTGGAAGAGAGTCGGAGGCCTGGTGCGACTGCAACTTGAACCAGTCCGAGTAACATAATCATCTGTTTATCACTCACAGCTGTGCTGATATTTTCTCTCTGGCTTTTCGGTTTACTGCTCGCTCATAACGAGGTTTCATGAATATGCTAACAAGGTGGAGGGCTCCTTTACATTAGCATAGAAGCTACCAAAGGTTTTGGGGTTTAATTATGAAAGTTACCTTTTTCCGACGTTCCTTTACAGAAGTACTCCCTCCCTTTGAACGTCACATCAACATTCAACACACTTTCTTGGGCATTTTATTATTATTTTTTTGTATGATGGACCAACAAAAAGTAATAAGTTGTGAAGTGGAAGGAAAATGATGCATGGTTTTCAAAATTTCTTAAAAATACAAATCTGAGATTGAATTCTTTACTCTTTTTTTTTTTGGCAAAGTAACTCTGGCTCAGTTAGACTGGATGTATGTGTGAACAGCAATAAGTTTTACCACAGCTTTTCAGTTGGATTTAGCTCTGGACTTTGACTGAGCCATTGTAAGAAACAAATATGCTAACTATTCTTGCTAGAAGGTGAACATCTGCCCCAGTCTGACCAGCTTTCCTGTCCCTTTAGAATAAGCTTATCCCCACAGCATGATGCTGCCGCCGCCGTGTTTCACCGTGGGCGCCACCTCTGCTTCTGAAAAGGACACAGCTTCCGCCAGCGTGTCAGGTGTGACTTTTAGAGGCAATCGGGTCGCACCGGTTTTTATTTAGGGGCATCATATTATCAGATTATACACGCACACCAAGTCTTCCAGGTGTTATTTCAAAACCAAAACCGCGTATCACTTTTGCTACACTTCTCAATTGTTAGTCTGCTGCATAAAATCAAATGAGTAGTTTTTACGTTTGTGGCTGTAGCACGAGTAAATGTGGAAAAGAAACGAAATACTTTTTGCAAGGCGATGTATCGTAGGCAGTGATTCTATTTAGATCTTACCTTGAAGTGGATCGAAATGCAGAGCTGGATCCCTTCGGACCTCCTACTTGAGCAGCCAGCTCCGTGGGTCTGCAGCCTGCTGCGTGTGTCCACGCTGCTGCTTGCACTGACTCTTTGAAACGTCGCCGCTGCGTTCGTTCCAGTCCACGTCCGCCTGTCCTCGTCTTGAACACATCCAGACGCTCATCCCGCTGCATCAAATTTGATTCATCATTAACACCTTTTTACTCCCAAAATCATTCGTTTTTTAAATTTTGTTTGTTTCCTAACATTCGAACTCCTGTCTGTTGCTCCGTTTGTGTTTATTAATCGAAACCTTTTCCGTCGATACAAACACGGTTCTCAGGGATAGCGTAGCAGTTAAAAAGGGAACGAATTTGCTTCTTTCCAGCTGAATCATTCTGAGCCCTTAGGCCACCGTACTAAATATTGTTTACATTTGTATCTCAAAAACACACGTTTCATTTGTTTTCCCCTCTCTTTTTCCCCCCTTCGTAAATCGATTGAGGCGTGTTGTTAGTAGAGGTTGCTGAACCCTTTATTGTAAAAAAAAACCAACAACAACAAAAAACAATATTTTTGAATAACTTGTTCCAGTGGAAATGGCTGAAATGTTCTGCCTGGAACCAAACATGGTTTTATACCCAGTTGTAATTTCATTGTCTGCGTGATCGTCCATGAGTGTTTCATGCAGTGGGGTGGAAGAGGACGTGCCGCTGTAATTAAGGTGGCGTCCTCATCTCATTAAGCAGCAACTGCCTTTCATTCATCTTTCCACCAGTTGATGTTCAGCAGCCGCCCCACTGATGGTGTGTACGTTTGTTGAATAATCGAGAGGTTTCTTCCCAAAGGTATTCATGTTCTGTGGGTATTTTTTCACAATTTATGCCAAGAAGTCATTGTTGCCTTTTGTTGATTTTTTGTTTTGTTTTGTTTTTCCTCTGTGCCCAGCCATATGTACAGTTTTGACCCTTGCAGTAAGAAAGTAAAATAAAGCCAAACATTTCCAACATTTTGTTTGATGTTTCTATGAAATAAATGGTTCTTTTTTTTGTAAATCATTTCCTTGATGTTGGCATTTTTAGTTTTTTTTTTTTTTTTCTATCTAAAATAATTTGACGAATGTTGAAGTAATTGCTTGTGAATTTGGTATTGACGTTTATTGCAGCAGGAAAAATAACAAAGTGGAGCCGGACTGTCAGAATAACCTTGTTGGGTTGCTGAGCTAATGGACCGTCCTGGTTGATGCAGGTTTGTCCTTGCTTTTATTTTCCTTTTCTTCTTTTTTATCCTTAGAATCTTTAAAAATTGAAGCATATCGACCAGATGGAAAATCTCCACATTCGTGTTGCTGATGTATCTGATAATTAGGCCCCCCAAAAAAATCTCATCAGAGCAGATGGTGTCGGTTTATAGAATGAAAGTGAAATGGTGGGAGTTCATAGTTTGAATGCATTTTGTAAACAAGGAAATCAAATTATGATCTTTTAATTTAATTTCTTTGGTTTTTGACAAATACACAACTACATTAAATAATGCATTTGCATTATTCTGTAAATAATGACACTTTTAATGCAAAGATGCATTCAAATTTGCATTGAAAGTCAATTAAAATTGTCAACTTTACATTAAAAGTGTCATTACTTGCCAAATGACACTTCATGACGGTCATAAATGTCGAAGATTCCTTCATCTTCATGGCAGTGAAGTCTCTTGTGCACACCCCGTCAAATAAAGTGTCACCACATATGGTAGATGTAAAGAATTCCTTAAGCTATGATCACATCTAATTGAAAATTTGCATTTATGCATCTGAATTACTTGATTGTGCATGCATATATATATATGTATATTGTTTGTGTTTGTTTACACTGTGTCAGTGCAAATGACGCCGTCTTCCTCACACCTGCCACTTTCTGCATTAAAACACTGAACCCTGTGGATATTCATCAACCTGTCAGCTGCAGCACACATCTATCATCCACTTCCCCTCCGTCTCTCTGGCTCCCACACACAAGCACACACACTTAGCCTACGGGGGGGTTGTGGAGCATTTCCCTTCAGGCTGACACATTGTTGTGCTCTGGGGAGATTGCAGAGGAGGTATGCGTGAAGGACGAGGCCACTAACAATTTCTGTGCTGCTGTTTTCATTTCCTTTGTCACTTTTTTCCCTCTCTCTCTCTTTTTAGTTTTACGTTTGAAGAGAAACTGATGCAAATTGAAGAAAATGCTGATGCCGTGAATGGCCTATTTTAGTTCTGAGTGGAGCACTAAAACTTGGCAAGCAATAGATAAATACTATTTATTATTCATTTTTTTATATATTACAGCCATAACCTAAAAAAGAAAAAGTGCCACCACATCAGAAAGGCTGAAAATCATGCTTTCTGCTGGTGTTTAGTGATGAAACCAGATACTTGGAGAAGCATTGCAACTCTAAAAGGCTTTAGAATAGACTGTCTTTATATTAAAGGTATAAGGATATCCATTTGTAATTATCCAATTATCAATTGGAATATCATTGAGAATTTAATTCATTTCAGCAATTCAAATCGGAAAGTGAAACTCATTTTGCACAGAATAATTCTTAAAGCTGTTCTCTTATTTTTGACGGTCATGGCTTACAGCTAAAGGAAACTCAATATTAAAAATTGTTGCTATAAAATGGTTGTTTCTGATTTTAAAAGAAAAAAAATTCTTAGCATTGATCTTTAGAGCTTTATATTGTGAAGTTAATTAATGCTTCTTGCATTACACTATTATAGTCACTGTGTGTATTCCTTACAGTATTTACATTCTGAGATTTCCAAAAGGCTAAAAACATTTCTAAATACAGCATATTTTCCTCATTTGCAAAGACAGAAAATTCACACAGCCACAGCATGCCTTAGAAAATAGTTTCAATTTAAACAGATTTTTATACCTTTCCTTAATTCTAAATATTCTAAATTCCTTCAAGGCATCATTTTATGCTGTTGCTGTCAACGCCGTCCTGTCTGGTCACTGATAAAAATATATGTTTTTACCTAAAACTGGTTCCATGATTCACAGCTTTCTTAAATTGCTTAAATATTACTGTCTCAGTTTTTCCCTCTATTTGACTTTATGCTGTTAAAAGATAGTTATGAGGATTCCCTCTTAAGAGTTACAAAGTTCAGTTTTCTAGTTTCCTATATCTGCCTGCTTTAATGTGGATTTCTCCCAAATAACATATTTAAGGCTTTCCAGCTCAGGTATGCAGGATTCGTCTCTCAAATGGCAGTTGTTGCTTAATCTGAAGGTTTAGATTCCCCTCTTCCATTTTTATATTGAAAACAAATTAACGAATTTGAGCTACTTAAAATTCATCATTATATTATTTAACGCATTTTAAAAATGATTTCATTGCATTTTATTTTGCGTGTCTTTGGCTTACGACTTTTTTTTATACCCACAATGCAAAGCGAAGCAGCCACGTAAACGATAACATCCTCACGTCGCTGCCTGCTAGCTACCTCTGCTTCCTGTGTGTGTAATATGCCCATTGCAGCCTATTATACATAACTACATGATGCAAAACTTCTTCAACAGGTACAGTTTTTGTCAAATAGCTCTGCCAGTTTCTCTGAGATGTGAATTCATTCTACTTTGAGGCTACAGCAAACCAAAGTAGCTGAATGTTAGCTCCCGGGCTAGCCGATTCTGCTAATGTTGTTAGCTCCCTTGCTGGCCTGAGTTTTCTTGCAGCCTGAGTTGATATTTTAGAATAAATTAAACTGTTTTAGTCCTTTTAATCGGTCAGTTACTCGGGTATTTGATTTATAGCACTGTTATGTCCGCATAAGTCCAATGAAGATGCAGTTCATTTAATGTAATTGGATTTTAGCGTTAGCTAACCTTGCTTTGATTCTACTAGCCACTACAGAGTCTCTTTTTGTTGAACTCAAACGTAACTTTGAATTGCAGGAAAGGGAGGTTTAATGTTTAATTCACCGAGAACGCATGCAGTCAGTGTTTCACATGACTTCCTGTCAGCGTGCTTTCATTCAGTCGTGGAGCTCTCCGTGGTTCTGACGCAAGGGACCACCCCACCTCCAGGTTTTGGTTTTAAATTGCATTAAAATGAGTACTACACTTTAAATGAGCTACAAAAGGATAACTGAACAGCATATTAGTTGAAATCACTCCTGAGCTAGCTGTGGGGTTAGAGTAGATGAATAAAAAAAAAAGTCCTATTTTTGGGTATTATCCTGTTGTCGCTAACGAGTATTTTTAACACCAACGGATGATAATAAAGGTAAGTAACCACAGGTGTGTGATTTGGCATTTGTCGTCTGTCGGAACACATATACTCTCGATAGTTTTTAAAAAGTTTAACCTGTAGTGTGCTATATTTCAACTAAAATTTGTCCAACGCCCTCAGCTGGAACAATGTACAAGCTAGTAGCATTTTTGTAGTAAAAAAAAAAAATAAAAAAAGTCAAACAATAACAAATTTAAATCTTTTAACATAACTGATATTACAAATGCCTTCACAAAATTAAAAATTCCAACAGTCACGGTGTGATATTGATTATTAATATTGTACAGCTATATTGATTACTATTCAAGAAGAAAATAGCCTTCACCTCACCCCATTTAAGATGATATTTGTATAATTGTGTACCACTCAGCAGGTTTTCCTAATGTTTCTTGGTTGTTTATGAAGAATAGTTCGGTCATTAATTGCCTTTTTGAAGAGTCTTACTATGAATTTTAACCTCCGTTTACAGCAAATCAGTGGGACACCCTCAACTGTAAAATGTCGATGGTGTTGTTTGCCTCTGTGGTTCGCGTCGCGGACGGTCTGCCTCTCTCAGCATCCACCGACTGCGAACAGGAGAAAGACCTCCAGGAGACGAAGAGGCATCTTAAGGGTCTCTCCAAGAAGCTCAACCAGTTCCCTGACCGCTGCACACTCAAGTCCGGACCGTACAATGTGAAGTACGTCCTGTTCTGTAGCATTTCTTTAAATGATATTACATCTAAGAGGTAACATGTGCTTTTGTTTTTATGTTAACTTACAGTAAGTAGGTCAGAAAACATTATGCAGTCAGTTTGCGAGTCTATAAAGTTCGATATGAAACAGCAGTTTTGATCATTCAGTTTCATCTTTAGGAACTGTGACAGTTTTCCTACTTCTTTCTTGTTTTTCTTTTTTAAACGTTTTTATTGAATGGTACCATCTAATGTGTGTAAATCTAAAGCCAGGGCGCCCTTTAGGCTTTCTGTTTCAAAGCATTAATTCTGAAAGCCCAGCTGGTGCTCTTGGGAAAGCCTTTGAAATGCTTTTAAGCGGTGTTTGTTCGGCGCCAATTAGCAACGATAAGAAACAGGACATGACCTTAAGGGGAATGAGACAGTTACACCTTTCAGCAGCAAGAGCTTCCCTTTGATTAGCCCGTCTTTAATTTATTTAAGCCTGAAGCATATGATGACTGAAGTGAAGGTCAGAATGACGCTTAGTTGTTAGAGATCACATCTTAGCCTTTTTTTTTTGTGATGTTCACGACCATTCAGACGCTTTCATGTGACATTTGATGCATTAAAATCTCTAGAGTCTTAAAGCTAAATTAATTGTTTTTATGTGTTAACTATATTAGAACATAATAGAGATCTGACAGGATTAAATAATACCCTGGTATTCCATCATAAATTACTTTAAACTCTCTAATAAGTTCATTTATGCAGGCTCGTCTGGTGCGAAAGCTTTGCATATTTCACTAGTTATACAAAGGCTTTTGCTTGGCTTTTTGCTTTTAAGATTTACTGAGCCAGATGTTATTGATTTTTATTATGATTACATTAGTGAAGGTGATACATGCCATCTGTCCAAAGAGATTTGGGATATTGAATGGGGATGCACCAGCTAACGCTGAGCATTAACGTTTGACTGGCTTCCAAAGCTGGAAAAGCCCAAATCTTGATTCATGAACAGTAGCCGTGTCACAGATCAGTCATAAAGCAAATGCATGTCGGTTTGCATTTTTACTGCAGCGTTATTATTGAGGCCGCCACCTCTTGATGGGGGGGGGAAAATATAGCTAGCACATGTGGGTAAGGGCTTATTGTGTTGATAACTGTAGATCTATAGTTGATGCACAGATGGTAAGTTTACTGATCTATTTAAATCAGTGAATGACACAGAGTAAGGAGTACTAGCATTGAGTTCTGTTCACAAAGTACATTTTGGGAGGGATAAAGAGTCTTTATGAAACTAAAGACTGCTGAATCTATTGAAAGAATGGAGGAGTGAGTAAGAAAGCGTTGCTGTTTATGTCCCTGTGAAGCTTTTCCTGGCTGCCTTCCCTCCATTTTCTTTTTGGCTTTGTTCTGACTAATTCCAATTATTTACTTTTTATTTTTTTCTACTGTGACACATGAGAGAAAACACATGCTGCAGGTCCTTAAATGGGGGCAGTCGTTTTGAATCCAGCAGAAAATGAACTAAGTACAAAATAACCTCTAGCTATGCATCAGAGCATTATGTCCCTTAATTTATCCGACTTTGCTAAACCTTTAAAAACATTAAAATGCGTCCCAAGTTCATGGACTGAACATAGTACGCATGGATGCATTTAAGGGCAAAAGGTCTTTTTCAGTTCTTAACCTGCTGATCAGGAGAAAATTGTTGCATACGAGTGATTTTTTCAAGTAGCCAACAGTTACCTAATTATCCATGGTGGTCTACTTTAGTACTAGAGTTGCATTGGGAAAACAAACAGCTACCATTTCCTCAAAGGATATTAAGTATTTGATTGTTGATTTTAAATTATGATCTTATCCCAGCAGAAAGGTTTTAGTTAGAGGGAGCTTTAGTGATCATTAAGCGCTTTTTGTTTAGGAAGTCTATCAATTGTTTGATCCCTGGGAAATAAAGAGTAATGATGTTACTTTACCCAGACTCTGACAGGCTCCCAGCCTGTCTAAATATGTTCATTACCATAACATGCTGAAAGCTCAAATGGACAAAAGCTTATTTGTTGCCCTCTGCTCAGTCTCCCTGTTATATGATAAAAGTCTCACTCCACTCGGTAAAGTTTTCCACTTTGATGACTGTTGCTGTCAGTGCACCCTCATAGCACACATGCTGGTGAAGTGGCTGATTTTTAACTCCCCTACTGGGAGTTTCACCACTGAAAACTGTACAATTATTTGGTCACTTGCTGATTTCCTGGTGCATCTCTTGTTTACAGACAAATCAGTATATTAGGCGGTCATGAAAACACAATAAGTTACTCACTTTGGGATTCACTTCACGCTCACACTGAACTAAGCAACAAGCTACATTTAATTTTACAGCTCTGGATTCCCATTTAAATTTGTTTCTCTAAATTTTTTTGGTGCCGGGTTCACATTGTGCGATTACTGGGGATCCTGTCAACCAACTCTTCAGTCCATTTGTGTGCCGATTTCCCTCTGACCCAATCAAAGATGGACAACAAACATCAAGTGCTGGCAGAAGTGTTTTTGGAAAGTCAGCGAGCCTGCTGCTGACCTGCTAGCAACGACCAAAGCTTCTGTTTCTTTTTCCAGCTCTAATAATTAGCGCATTGACACCAGTAACTTGTTGTCTCTCTTTATTGATTATTGTTTTTTTCTGTCAGATTGGTCTGATACAGTCCTGCAGATTCACCTCTTGCGTTTGTAGATATTTAACTGTTTAATGTTTCACGTCTTGGCTCAGAGCACAAATGAGAGCAGAGACGTTTAGATAATGCAAGTCCTGTTTTTTAATCAGGGAAATGTAATCTGCTCATCGTATGAAGTAACGCTTCCAGGCTGATGGGTATTGTGTCTGAACAGGTGCATGTGAATGTTAATGTGGTTATTAAGTTTAATTAGCTGTGAAAGTGTGATCCTATTTCTTTACCTTTACAGCAGTGGTGTACTTTAAACTGTTTGCACTGCGATTAGAGCGTTAACCAGCAGAATCATTACTGCTGTTATGTTACCCTCTTGTAATTTGTCGTCCTCGTTATTTCTCCGGGGTTTCTGACCTGAGCAAAAAGGCAGGACCTCGCGTTAAAATCAGGATTTTCTGCTGCTCTTTCTGCGTTTTTAGCTTCATATACTCGCTGGGTGTTGGATACCTGATGGTCTGCACTGGAAATTACCCCAATGTGCTGGCCTTCTGCTTCCTGGACGAGCTGCAGAAAGAGTTCATCATCACTTATGACTCCAAACGCATCAGCAGTGCCGTGCGGCCGTACTCCTTCATCGAATTCGGTAAGACTCTTTTGGATTTTGTGAGTAATGCGCTTCGCACTGTCATTATCTAGGTAACAAGACACAGTGCCAGCCACATTTATTAGCAACGCTGCTGAAGATGTGTGAAAAACCTTAAAGCAATCTAAGGTTTTATTGCAATGGTGTGATTTCACTGTGAAGAAAAAACATGCTTTTAATTTGAGTACATTTATTTAGTGATGAGAAAAACAATTGCTGGAACTCATGTTTTCAGAATATTGTACAACCTGCCATTTTCCAACAAAGTAGCTCTTGGTTTAACATTTCACAAAGTGGAAGCAGACCAATGAAAGCTGGTCAATAGGATCCTGGTCTGGATGCTGACTTGACCATGGAAGATGTTTGATTTTTAACCAAGGTTTTAAATAATTATGCTGGCGACCCGGTGGCACACAATCTTATTAGTGGAAATTATTAGATTTTATTTAAACTCTCCTGGAACTTCAAAAAGTCAATGACACTTTGCAGTCCAACAAGGTTTCCAGAGTTTTTGGAGGAGAAAGAGACAGATGCTTTATTGTTCCTAATAGTGGACATTAGGTGCTAGATGTGAGCATTTATTGTATCGTTTATCACTAAATATTGTGATAAAACCTCATCAACCAGCATAAAAAACAACAATTAACTTAGCTTTATCACAGTGTATTTGCCTCAGTAATGACAAACAATTGGATAAATTGCCCATTCACCGTAGAAAGACGGATTTTGGTCTTTGTCCAGCCCAGAGACCAAGTCATGGTTGACCTCAGGGAAACAGAAAGACATGTGGATTGATTAGAAATTCTTGACACTTTGTGCAACTTAAATAAAAAAAGGAAAGTCATTAAAACAGAGCTACAGTTATGTTTCTTTTAGAGACTATAATTATGCCACCAGTGATTTCATTAAAAATAACAATTTCTTCTCACCATCTGTTCTCCCCCCCACTACACTCATTTATTGTTCTGAAACTAAAGCTTGTATTTTTGCTATTTGGTGAGACGTGCCGTTGCCATAAAAGGTGGATCCGTTTTATTACAAACATCCCTCTGTCTGCACTCTGCAGAGGAAATAAGTAAAATCTGAGATGCATGCTGAGACTGAAGATGTTTCTCTGCTGCAAAGATGTTTACTCCTTTCAGAGACGCCGCAGCTTCAGCTTCCTTGTGTTTACGCCAAACAGTGTCCTTATCTCTTATACGCCGAGTGTTTATCACCCGTTATTTTGCTCCCCGCGGTACTAACCGCCTTGTTGTTGTGCTGACTGTCATCCCCCAGACACCTTCATCCAGAAGACCAAGCAGCGCTACAACAGCCCTCGCTCCCTGTCCACCAAGATCAACCTGGCTGACATGCAGACAGAGATCAAGCTGCGCCCGCCCTATCAGCTTTCCCCAGAGGACCTTCAGGCTATCAATGGATTCTCGGTGCGAGCCGCTTCTAAATACAAGGGCATAGGTAGGGCTCGAGCTGCCACCGCGCACAAAAAAGCCCTTTTAACATATGCGCCTTGTCCCTGGAAATTTCCATTCACATTCAGTGAAGGTTGAGTGGAAAAACATAACATAAAATAACGCTAATGCCTGCAACGTTCAAGAGTGTGTGCTGATGAGAGCTGGTGCATTTTGCTGACATCCATTTTGCTTTGCTTGCTCAAAAAATATGGGGTCTTGTGTGTCAACCCGAATGCACCTCCAGTTTTCCTCTTTCTTGATAAGAACAAGTTTGGTGCCTTTCAGAAGTATTCACACCGTTTTAACTTCTCCATGACTTTCTCCCGTCTGCTGTGAAGATTTAATTACAGACAGCTGTGGTCTGTTTCCTAATGAGTAGACCTGTCAAGATAACAAATCCACCTAGATGATAAATTGTCCCAGTAGTTATTGCGATAACCAATAATATTGCTGTTTTGAGACCATTTATGGTCAGTAATATGTTGATAATGGAATAAAAATACAAGATCGCCCTGTGAAAGACTAATAAACTTTCATTTTTCAAATAACACTTAACACTGGAGCTGGAAGATGTTTTAACTATTACTATAAGTAAAACACAACAACCAAAGACAACAAATAAAAACACAACCGAAGCCATAAATAAAATGAATTATAAAGTTTGTGTAAATAAAATTGCCCATTAAGCAACATTAATAATCAGAATAATTTAATTCATCATGTGATTAATTAGTTTCTTATTGCAGCAGGTTTACCATGAAGTCATTTCTGAGTGTTTTCATAAGCAAAGGATTTAGTTTTGGGGTACCAGAGTACATTGGGGTTCAGTATGTATGCATGCAATACTACTTAAACTTCAAATATCTCAAATATCGTGTTACTCCATTAGTTGTTTTGCCTGTATGCACATTTGATGTTATATTATTTTAACAGGAAAAAGAGCTGAGGTAAATGTTTCATGTCTAGTTATCTCATTTTCTCTGTGGAACAGTTCAGTTTTCAATTTTAGACACTTCAAATCCTGCTGAAACTCCACTTTTCTAATCGTTTGTGTTTTGTTTTTACTACTCATCTGTTGACTTGGAGCCGTTTTGTTCCTAAAATGATGATTCTGAGCATTTCTCTCCTGGAGGATGAAGTTCTCTGACGAGACGTATTTCCCTGTATTACAACGTCCTAAACTTTTTGTGAATTCAAACACCTTTTGTCTTCAATATGGTGGCGTGCCCGTATCCTGCTTGCAGAGTGTTTCCAACACGACAGATGATTACTTTGCATGAAATGAAACGAATCCATGCAGTTACAGTGTGTGATGCTTGTCTATTTTTTCTCCCAGCCCCCACACAGATGTTGGAGCCGGCGACGCTCCCTGGCATTGTGTCCTGTGTGCTCAGCGTCCTCTGTGGAGGCCTGAACCTGCTGAGAGGTGTCCATGCTATAGAGAGCATACTACAGGTCAGGACTTACTGCAGGGACATTTGGATACTTGATGCAAAAACTTAACCAAAGAATCTTGTTTATAAAATCTCTATAGCCATGTCTTCTCTGTTGCTTTAGATGAACAATCGCTGCATATTTTAGTCTTACTCTAAGGAGTAATATTTTGCTCTCATCATTTAATTGTGCTGACTGTCATGCAGTTTCTTGTATCACTATAATCCTGTCTGTAGAAACATTCCTGGGTGCTTTTGTCAAGATCCAATGTTTTCTTTGCAAGCAAATGATTCTGTTTTGAAACACTACTCTTAGTTCAGATACATTTTGAGCAGTGGGTATTTTTGTCACAACCAAGACATTTCAGAAATTCCTGCAGCTCCCTGACTGCTTTAGTTTTTTTCGTTTTGTTTTTTTATCAAACATCCAGTTTTTCTAATTCCCCCGTATTTCCTACTCTTACCAGTAACTCTGTTTAATCTTTATGACTCTTGAAACTCTCTGAAGATAATGTGCTTATTGCAACAGTTTATATTCTTCATTATTGTAGAGCAAATATAAAAGGTGTAAAAAGTTTCCAGATGCCTTACGACGTTTTATCAACATTCCTGTCCCCCCATCTGAGCTTGCCATTAAAGTCAGTCACATCATGTTCTGTAGATACTAAAATGAATTTAAAGGGAACCAATAAAGCATTTCTTGCCTCATAAAGAGCATGCATGCTAAAATGATCCCGGCCTCTGTCCATCTCCTCCCTGTGCAGAATGATGACGAGGACTTTAATTATGTGATTGCCTTCTTCCTCGGCACGGCGGCCTGTCTGTATCAGGTAAGTGATCGTCTGCGGTAAGAGCAGCCCATCGCCAGCCGGCTGACTAACAGCCCTGCACTTTACGGCTCAGCAGCTTGTCAGTTAGACAAACATTCGCTGAAGCTCAGTGGCTTTCAGGCCAATGCCTCCTCTATAAAACATTTTCATCAGCTCCTTTTGTGCGGCAAAATGGAAGCGCACAATTTAGTCGACAGATCAGAGCCGTCACATAGGATTTGTTGTCGAAGACGCGTCGGCAGCCAGTTTGTTCGGCATTAATTCGATGTGATCCCGTTTCTTTCAGTGCTACCTGTTTGCCTACTTCTCCATCTGGAGGAACAGCAAGTCCTTCTTGGCGTTTGCGCTCATCTGTCTGTCCAACATGTATCTGTATGAACTGAGGAACATTTGGCAGATCCTCTTCCATGTAGCCGTGGGGGCCTTCATGACCCTGCAAATCAGACTGAGGCAGCCGCTGGGCAAAGCGCCAGACTACAACGTCTGACAAAGAAGAAGAAAAAAAAAAAAAAAAACTAACGCGCTGTAAGTCAGGTGCCCCAGCGGTGGTCTGTCGGACACACCGGAAGCAAAAACAAGCCTTCCCGATTCGGAGGAGGGAGAGGAGGGGCTGAACATTTCACCGGAGCATAAATGGATCTGCCTCCGTTTGGATTTGGAAAGGAAAGTCTGCTGCGGTCCGACTGCTTCATGGATTTTATTGGATTGATTTTGGAAGCTGCCTCCTTTCCTTTATTGCGTGATGATGATTTATGGACTTCTTCTGCACAGCTCTGATTTAGGTCACAGGCCTGTTTGCAGGATGGTTGCAAACCCCATGCACTTGAAAAGGTTTTCTTTTACTGCATCCAACAGGAAAAGAAAATCCTAATAAATGTATGTATGATTTCATCAATTAGAGTGACGTACCTTTCAGAAAGCATTGAAACTGAACTCATAACCTTTTCCCCCGTATCTTCTTGTTAAACTAGCTCACATGTCAGCCATGAGGTTTGTTAAATGAATCCTGAAATGAATAACCTGAAACTACATTTACCCACCAGCAGATATTTAATTGTCTTTATAAGTGGAGTACCTTACACGTCTCCCTGGTTCACCACACCTCATTGAATTAAATTGGTCCAATTCTTGTTTCTGCAGAGCTTGATGACAATTTCAGCCATTTAAATCAGATGTGTTGGAGCAGGGAAACGTCTAAAATATGTCGGATACCACTATCTGTTTGATTGAAATTGGACTCGATTACATTTTTAATATAAAATCAGGGTTTTTGCCGTATCCCAGCTTTTCTCTCCTCTGCTCTAAACTCTCTCGAAGCAGCAGCACCGGTTGCTGATTATGCTTTATTTTTGACTGTGTGGGGCAGAAATTTGACTCATTTTCCCATAAATGCATTAGTCAGCAGCTCTGTGTGCTTTAGAGGCATGCAGTTGGATCACAGAACTAAATGGACAACATATGTCGGGAGTTTCTGAGGTGATATTCACCCAGGTGGATAAGATGCATCAGGACTTTTTAAACACAGACACAGCCTCAGCACGCCCTTCAATTCTGTTCATTTCTGTTTAGAGGCTAAATGTTAGCTGGTTGTATTAAACACCTGCCTCCTGTTCCATGTTGGGAACTTTAAGCTGATTGTAAAGAACATGACTGCAGATTGAAGGGATGATCTGAACTTGGCTTGAATAATTCAAAATTCCGTTAAATTTTACAGAAAATCAGAAAAAATGTGCAATAATACAAAAATATGTACAATTTGCAACGTTTTAAAGCCATTTTAATCAGGGCATTTTGTATTTAATATTGTTTAAGTTTTGTTTACGTCAGTATTTTTGCCACTTTGTTGGCCTCCATCTTGTTTTAAATTAGTTTTCTTTTTGACAAACACTTACATGGGATTGTATCACAAAATGCTTTATTACTGATGCTTTGCAAGCAGGTGATGATAATGTCAACATGACCTACATCAAAGCTCAAAAGAAGCTCTGCAGTCTGGCTACAGATTAAAGCCTCATCTTTCTTTTCTTTGATACCGTTTCCTCCTTTTTCTTTCCAGCTCATATTCAAAGTTATTTGGAAGTGGAGTCAGGAGAAACGAGACGGATATTAACTAACCCATAAAAACTTGAGTTTTTGAGCACAGACGCCAGAGTGTATACCTCTATCTCATTGTAATGATTTCTACATACCAGTCCACATGCATACTGCTTTTAAGCTTTAAAAACTTTGACAATTAGGTGGAGGATGTGGTAGAATTTGCATTGCGTTGCCAGTGTGTATTTATGTCATTTGTAGGAGTATATGTGGCAAGAAAGTGAAGAAGAAATCAGAAAACAACTCTTTAGACTACAAGAGATTAAATTAGGATAAAACAAAGAAAAGTTTTTTACTTTGATACCAAGAGGTAACAACCTGAAAACAAGCAGAGAAAGTCAACAGTCTGAATTTCTTTTTCTTTTTTCTTTTTTTTACCTTTTGTTCATGTTCTACCTACTCACATCTATGCTTTCTTTTAAACCCAGTGCTGGTATTTCTTCAGCTGTAGAAATGTCCATTTTTGGTCTTGAGGTGAAACTATGCAACGCTGCCTTCCTGTTTGAGTCACTCAGACTTTAATTTATTCACTAATCAGGGGTAAAACAGTCGTATCTTTTTTTGTGGTTGTTGTCTTTTGCAAGAGCTCATTATTTATTCAATGACTAATTTCGGTGCAAGATGTAATCATTTATGAAATTCATGTTTTTTCATTCAGACGTGTATAAATGTCTTCTTGTGACAACATAAAGCTCCTGTCGGCTCAGACGATCAGCAGTCGCATCCTTCCTCGCCTACACAGCCTCGAGCGTATGCCAGTGTCACAATGACTGTGTGAATAAACACATCCGTGTTGCCAACAGCAAAGATGCATCACTGTTTTCTTTACCTCCTACTGAGTTCTTTAGTTCAGCCATCTTTTTTTCTGCTACTTGGACTTTTGCGCTGCTTTCACGCAGCTTATATGCACCATTTAACATTTATTTGGGCAGCGTTGGTTTCTTTGCTCTCTGAACTTTTACATTCTTATTGAGACCAAAGATGTGTGCAGAGGACGGTGGAAAGGAAAGCAAACAGTTTTAAGTCTTGCAGCTCCACGCACATCTGGCGTCAGAAGTTAACAAGTCGTTCTCATGCGACCCATTACTGCAGTCTGACTTTTACTCCGCTTTTCCAGCAGCGACCACACCTACATGACCTCATGCCGGCTCTCGCACTTCATGGCTCGGGCGTTCTGGGAGCCGAGCTGAGTCTTGCGTCACCAACTCGGCATCCTGCATCTTTGCAGTTACAGTAAATATGTTGTGTGGGCGGTTTTGTCAGGGAATTGAGATTCGGGGAATTATCGACCAGATTTGTTTGTGGATGGAAAATGAAAGAGCGTTTGAAGATGTCGTCACCAGGAAAAGATTCAAAATAAACCATTGAATGTAACTTGTATAATAAATTTGTCGTTTTTATTAATAAATGTAAACATGAAACAAAATTACACTTGTCTGCTTTTGGAGCGATATTAGACTGTCTACCTTCAGATGTTGAGAGAGCAAACAACTTTAGAAAGAGGCAGCCGCACCTTTTACATCTGTTGTTCCCAAACAGCAAACGTGAAAATTAAGTCGCGTTTCAGAAATCAAACTAAAGAGAGAAACTGGAAGAGGGGCGATTATTTTTCATTTATTTTTCTCAAAGCTTTTTGAGTAACTTTCTTTAGAGTCGACATCAAGACTGAGTTCATATCTTAACTTTCTGCTCTGCCAGTGCTTAAAATTGTTTTGCGCCTAATTGGCTGCTTTCAAATTACACTTCCTAACAGGCAACAGCAAGCTACATCTGTAGCTTGTTGCTCCCTGTTCCTAAAATCTTGTGGTAATCTTCCAAGATTTAGAGACTCCACATGACACATAAGGAATTGTTGTAATTGCTGTTTGTTTTTTTCCAGCAGACTCATATCTAAGATTACATATGAGGTTTTTAAAAACACTTGTGCTTTTTCTTGATTTTTAGATGTGCTGCTAGCTTGAATAAGATGAGTTGTATCCTCATGTGATGAGTGATCATCTTGTGGCAAATTTCACCCAATTAGGGCAGATTTTCCTGTCCAAAAAAGGTCATTGTCATTCTGTCTGAGGATTTTGTTCTGCTTCATTCAACATCAAATAAACACTGCTGTGCTTCCTGATAAAATACAAAACCTATTTTCTACTGAACCCAAGAGGATTTCATAATCAGCTTAATAATGTTGATCAAGTACCAAACTTAATTAAGCAACTAGTGATTTGACTATAATGTAAATATAGATATTAATCCAGTTATGGATGAACCCACAGTGCTAATCAGCTCGTCTGTCTTGTTTTCCAACAGTTAATCATGAACAAAATGATGGAGCTCTGCTGCCATCTGGTGGTAGAAGTTAGGTACTTTCCATAACAGATTTTTCAATGAAAAATCTCTCAAACTTTGGTATGCCAACACACCAGTTTTTACACACAAGACTGAGATATCAGTAACATGCAGAATATGTGGAAGAAAAAGACCGATATGTACCTGTGAAACATCTCAGCAGTTTATTTTACTGTAAAAAAAATAAAATAAAATGGTGTCGGAACAAGACAACAAAAACAACCCATCGTTTTCTCTCTGGAGCCACTTTTGTCACAGATGCTTCATGTCAGGGTCATTGTGAGAAATCAGTAGCTGTAAAGCATGTAAGCTCAAACAAATTAAAAAAACAAAAACATGGGCTTAAATTGGCACAACATTCAGCGAGTCAAAACGGCATTTAAAAGTGTAGTGGTGTTGCAGCAGCAGTACAACAGGTTACCAAGACAATAACCACCTGGGTAGGATATTGCAGTTTAATTTTCCAGAGGCTTAAAATATTGATTTACTTATTTTATCCCACCAGTAAAGTAGAATAAAGTAAACTTTTTCTTATTGCCAGTAACCAAATCATTTACATGTATTTACGCAGTAGCTGGGATGAGACTCTTAGGATCTATGATGACCTCCAATAAAGTTAAAGAAGTTTCCAATTTTCCTCTTTAAAAAAAAAAAAAAACAAAAAAAAAAACACATTTTAATAAAAAAAAAAAAAATTATAACTACGTAATATAAAATTGACTTGTCCCTGGTAAAGCAAAAATTATTTAGCATGTCATTACACTTAATTTCTAGAATTTGATACACACAAAAAAAAAAAAAACCCTGATAAGGTTACTTCTGAATTTTTTAGTAGTTTTAAGTTTTTATTGTACAGAAAATTGACCGTAATAAACTTATTTTAGCTGGTTCAGTTTGTTTTACCTCAACAGTATAAAGGGTTTTGCTTCTTTAATTTCCACTAAGGGGAGGTTTCTGTTGAATGTTCTAGGAATATTCAACTAAAGAAGGTTATGACGGAAAACTTTTTGCAATTTTTAACTCTTGCAAGAGTGAAAAATGTATGGTATGTTCATACCATGCAATATGGTATGAACATACCATAAATTATGGTATGTTCATATTGCCTATGTGTGAATATATTTATTCCAGATGTAAAACATGAGGAATGTACGTCTGAAATTTTCTCTCTGGATTCATCTTGGTATTATTAGCTACTGCCTTTTCTTTTGGCATTGCTCATGACAAACACTGAAAACGTCCTGAAGGGCTCTTAAAGAGATAAAATTAAATTATTTTTCAAACATTACCAGGGTACAATTTATGGATGTTTGTACAAACTGTTAATGTCTAAAGTGGAAAAACTGTCAAGCCTGTTTAATTTTAAAATGGGAACTAAATGTAGCACATTTGTTAAAATTAGGTTCTGTAAAAAGGCCATAAGCAGCCAATATTTTACTGTCAGTGTCTTTGTTTACTTTGAATCCATTACAGAGAATTCAGAAGCTGATCATTATTTGCATGATTAAATGAAATGTGTAGTTCTCACCATTAGCTTACATGCACTGAGAACAGAACATATTTATAGTAATAAAAGTTTGGTATCACAGCTTTTGTGTGGGAAAAGATCTAGTCTGGCCGAAGCTGCAGCTCCGGGTCGGTTTGTTGACAATTAGATTACGGCTAACAAATTACAGATTTTTTTCCTTTTTATTCAATTTCCCCCCTTTCATTGTATTTATTGACAAATATTAGCAAGTTTTGGGCATTCATGATCTTTACCGGCAATAAAAACATCAAAGGATGAAGATTTTCATATCCAAGTGCCATTTTCATATTCTCAGGTGAAAGTTTGAAGAATTTCACATTACTATAGTCCGACTCATCCAAGCAATGGGTGAAAGTTATGTGAGAGAAAGCAATGCAGAGCAATGATGCAATACTGAAAGAAAAACTGCTTTGATGAGAGAAAAACAAACAAAAAACATAAACAGCAGATTTTAAAAAGTGCACATTTTCCCACACATGCTCAATCTGTCAACAGGCTGATCATCATCCTGGTAGTCGCTCTAGAGTCCGCATGAAAGGCCTCATTGGAGAACATTGGACATTCATTGTGTCGTACCACCTAACCGAGCAAACAATCAGGGCCTGCAGGTGGAGCGGTGCGCGAGGCGGAGGGGCGGACGGCTGAAAGCACCGGAGTGCAAAATGGCGTCTGAGCACCGCGGCCGACGCCTTTAGGTCCATCTAGTGAGTCGTTCCGACTGCGTTTTCCTCTCTGCTGTGACATTGAGACACATTAAAGGGGAGATCATCGGCCGCTTCTAATCAGCCAGCAGTCGACTTCCTGCAGATTAATAATAAAAAAAAGAAAGTATGCTCGATTTGTTGAAAAGAGCTGGAGGGGAGAGGGAATCAGGCAACACCAGTGAGGGTTTCTGCAGTCTGCACATGTGGAGACACACTGTAGTTTATACATAGCTCTGTATTATATGAATGTAGAAAATATATAATCTTTAAATATCTCGTAGGGTCTGTGTTTTGACGTCAAAATACAAAACCTCTTTAGGAGTAGAAAAGCTTTTTCTTTTTTTTTTTACTGACATCCTTGTGTTGCAGGCGTGCCTATGTATTCTTTGTGAGAGGCTAACGGGAAGCTTCATATAAACACTGTGTTGGACTTTTCTATTAAACATAATCCATATACTATAGGAGTTATATCCCCTCGCCTATGAGACAAACAGTGTGCAGTAACTCATACAGTACCAAAAAAGAAGTATTCATACCCGTCTGGCTTTTCACGTTTTGTCACTTTACAACATCAGATGTCAATGGGAGTTTACTGGGGGCGCAAATAGAAATTGCTAAATTGTTTCTATTCTAAAAGAAAAATGGTTCCCTTGCTTGTAAATGAAGAAGAGCGGCAAGAGAATAAGCCATACGGAAGCCCATGACGGACAAAGATGCTGAAGATGCTGTTACATTTTAAACTACATGCAAAACGCCATGTGTGGCGGTTAAGCCATCTAGTGTATCACGTTGGGCACACTCACCCCATCAAGAAACAAGGCGGTGGCAGCGTCATACTGTGGGGACGTTTATCTCCAGCAGAAATGGGGTTGAAAGAAGGTAAGCCTTTTAGAAGCATCAAAAGACTTGAAGTTTCCTTCCAACAAATGTAGCATCCCAAAACTAATGGTAAAACTGACAAAGAATCTATGATGATAGAAATAATTACAGAAAAACTTAATTCAAATCTAAATGAGCTTGGGTCATTTTGGAAAAAGGAAGAGGTAAAACATTTTAGAGTTTATAGTTGCAAAGCTGGTTGAGAAATTCATGAAAAGTCTGCAGCTGGCGGTTGTACAAAATATTGACGTGGGCACTCCACACTCTTCAGATATTTGCAAAAACGTTTTCCTTAACTCTATCCTTTTAGTTAAATTTCACATATATCTCCATCTCTGTATTGGTTTATTACATAAATCCATTTAGAAATAAACTTTTGTCTTTTCCAAAGTGACAAAACGTGAGGAAGTGCTAGGGGTGTGAATACTTTTGTGAAGCGCGCAGGTCGTCCGGTGCTGATCGACGGGGAGATGGACGCACTAACAAGCGAGGACTGCAGTGCTGCTGGCTTTATGTCCGCACTTGACAGATCTGCATCTGTACCACAGCAACGGGAACAAAATATCATACAAACAGTACATAAAGTCACCCACATACACATAAAACTTCCTGGGTTTTACATGTACATAGTGTTCAGAATCAGCTGGGAAAAAAAAAAAGGCAGAGAACAGGAGAGGAGGCGACGTAGCTCAGATCGCCCCGCAGGTTTTGTCCAAGAACCCCCTCGGAAAACCCAACCGGCCAAGTTTCCTCCAGGATCCTCGTCTTTTCGTGTTTGTCAGGGCCGAGCTGGACGAATCTGTCTTTGCACTCCGATTGGACATCTTTGGTCAAAAAGCAGACGTGCCCTTGGCTGTCCGTGAGCTCCTCCTGGGAAAAAAAAAAAAAAAAAGGACGAATCCTTCGACGTGCCGACCGGTTCAAGGACCGTCCGCTGCTGTGAGGGGAGAACCCTCAATCTGCCCTAAGCTATCAGAGGTCTGTAAGCCGGCTCGTTATGAGAGAAGGTGCTCAACCTCCCATGTGTCCGATTGTCACTCAGTAAAGGTTAACTGCCGGGGGGTCCGGCAGTGAGAAAGTAGGTCATCATCTCTCCTTTGCCTTTGACGGTGACGACACCTCGGTATTCCAGTGTGTAGCTGTAGGAGTTCAGCACCTGGTACAGATCCGCCGTCACCTGTGTGTAAACAGTTTGCTTCAGATTCAACGTCACATTTTGGTTCTTTCAACTTTTGAGAAAATGTGATAGACATAAAGCCAATACACACACACAGTCGTGTTTTCATCACTTGTGGGGACTTCACATTGACTTCAAGTAATTTCTACAGCCTAACCCTTAACATAACCCTAACACTAACCATCACATACCTAACCCTTACCTTAACCTTTACCCCAAACCTAACCATCACAGACCTAACCACTATCCCAAAAATAACAATTTCCCTCATGGGGACCAAGAAAATGTCCCCACAAGGAGCAATGGTCCCCATAATCCCACGTTGTAGATAGAAATAGGTTCCCATAAGGATATAAAAACCTGGTACACACACGCACACACACCATGCCAAGTTTATCTTAACCGGACAAAAATCCACCCAAGAAATAGACTTCTACATATTTAGAAGTTTTAAAACATCTAAAAATGTAGATGAACACCAACATGATATACATATTAATCTTAAAAACTATGTATAAACTTGTGTTTCATGTCATTACAGATGTTTTTTTTCTAAAACTGTAATCATATGGACACTTGTTAAGGAAACCTGCTGTTGGTATTGACAAAAAAAAAACAAAAACAAGTCTTCTGTTTAATGTGAACTTTAAAATGGTGAACAGCTTATTCATAATTCAAAAAGAGCTGTTTTAGAACAACAAGAAGGTTAATTAAATCACAGAAAGATGCTTTGTTTCATTTTGAGCTGTATCTGCTATGGAGCTAACCATGCTAACAATGCTAATTACTAATAAAAGCTGCATTGAAAATCTCTCTATATGTTCTTGACTTTAGTTCTCTTAAATGATAAAAGGCTAGAAATACTTTCTTTGATACGTTGTAAACTCATTACCTGTGAGATCAACGCCTGATGGGAATTTCTAAATGGGTGCTTTTCTTGATTCCTGTAGAACCTAGCTCTGCTATCTTTTCCACGGGTTGGAAATTATATTTCAGCTTTGCCATTTGTATTTGCAGCCATGTCTTTAGCTGCTACAGCTAACATTTTTGTTAGCAAACAGGTGCCTCAAATTAGTAAGTTAAGTTGAGAAAGTCAGTCCAAAGCCATTTTCTGGCAGGAAAATACTGGATTATTTTAACAATAAAGGACTTTTACTTGAAGTTTTAAAGGAATTTCACGCAGAGTTTGTTCAGTTGGTTACCTGGATCCTCTCCGGGACCCCTGTGCTGTCCATGCGGCTTGCTACGTTTACCGTGTTCCCCCAAATGTCGTACTGGGGCTTCCTGGCCCCTATCACCCCAGCAACCACCGGGCCAATGTTTAGACCTGTGAAAACAGATTAATACATTACAAAATAAACGATTGTGTCGTTCCCTTTATCACTGAAAGTTATTCCAAACTGACGTTTAGGAAAATCTAGAAATCTCTTACTCTCCATGTATGCATCTTTCTCCTGCTAAAGTGATATAAACATGGTTGCAGCGTGTTCTTTCACGGACCTATTTTCATTTTGAAGTTGTTGAAGGAGTGTTCGTTGATGTATTTCATCTGGTCCATCATCCGCATGGCGTAGTCGGCCATTGCACGGATGTGCGAGCGCCCGGCCTTGTCGTACGTGGAGTCGTTGAGGCCGGAAGCCGCCATGTACGTGGAGCCGATGGTCTTGATCTTCTCCAGCTGACGGAACTGATCCTCGCTGATGATCTGTGGAGGGCAGGAGGAACGTCAAAAATATTCCAATGTCACTCCACAAGAAAAAAGAAGTTCCGGAGAGGGACATTGCTGTGAATTGATATTTTTCTCTTTAGCTGAAGGGTATTTTTAGAACCCAATGCGACTTTATGCAGCTGGGGAAACATTAAGTGAGAAATCTCCACTGACGCTAATGGACGAGCCACTCACAGAAGCCAGTAAGAACCACAGACCGTGATCGCGGCAGCGTCTGCGCTTACCTCATCAAAGTCGGCGATGATCTCATTGAGCAGCCGCAGACACTCTACCCCTTCGTTGTTGGCCTCCAGCTCCACGTAGAACTCAGAGAAGTTGCTGATGGAGGCGAACATGACGGCGACGCACTCGCAGGACTGGTAGTAGAGCTCGTCGTTGCGCCGCTCGCGCTGCAGGAAGTGAGCAGCCACGTCTTTGGGCAGGATGTTGTGGAGCAGGCGTCGGTTGTAGGCCTGCAGCTCCTCCATCTCCTCCTTCTCCTCTGTAGCCTGGAGGAGGTAGGGTCAAAGTTCAACATTTGACATTATAATCTGAATTTGACTGACTGCAAGTGGGATTAAATCACAACATATGTTCTTAGTGAAGAACAGAAAATGACACGCAGACTGTCGGACTCCACCTGCAGCTTCCAGAGGAAGTCCAGCCTGGCCGTCGACTCCACCTGCTGGGCGTGAAGGTAAAGGGCGAGGACGAAGACAGTGATCACCACGGGGGTCATGATCTTCAGAGGAACCTTGTTGTCCACCAAACACCTGGGACACACACACATACACATCAACAGGTTGATGAATGAAACAGCAGAACAATAAGCACAGATGAAGGTGTTGCACAGGAATTAGTAAATACTTCAAGGAGGAATCTGACACAAACAAGCTGTTCTGTAAATCTCGGCTCATTAGTGCGAGCATCTGCTGTCAGCGGGTCATTATTAGATTCATTAGCGTGGCAACTAACGACGCTGCCGGTTTAACAGATGACGGAGCGGCGATGAAACCTGCCGTCGGTCTCACCTTGTGCCGTTCTCTGGTTTGCTGCGAGAGGAGAAACAGAAGAAGAGCTGATCAGACGTGAGGTTTGTACTTGGTCACATACTTGGTGATGGCGGTGAGGGAGACGCTCACGTGTAATTCAGGGCGTTTGCCATAACCAGCAGGTCCTGGTTGTCAAAGAGGCTCACTTTAGGCACCTCCATGATGAGCAGGTAGAGCAGCTCAATGAAGAGCATGAGGAAGAGTTTCCCGATGCTGCTGACCTGCAGGAAGACGGAGCAGGCCAGCAGGCTGAGCAGCACACAGCAGGTGAAGTACTGAGAGAGAGAGGAGATGTGGACCGTAAGGCGTTGGACTATGGTATGATTCCGGCTGAATAAGTCACACACGACCGCCCCCTTCCTGATGGCGCCCTGAGTTACTGCCTGTGTTGCCCAAATCAGGGAATAAACTTTACAGTTAATCATGTGACTGGGACAGTATAAGATGAAAAGGAGCAAGCTAAAAGATTAAGTCACGATGACCGCCATTTTGTAGATTTTTTAAAAGGGGTAGTTTTACGTAAAATTGACACTTTTGAGCTTTACAACATGTCATAATGTTATTCCCTCATCAAAAACATACATTAAGTGTTGCTTTGATTCTTTCATGCATGTTTGAAAGATCCTTTAATCTCCATGGCAACCATTCAGCTGTTCAAAACACTTGGTTGGTCCTAGCTCCACCTTCGAGGACGAAGCTCCTCCTTGGAGCTGCAGTTTCCAAGCTTTCATCTAACAAAGCTCCCCTCTGCCTTCACTCCCCCACTCAGCTCCTTCAGACTAGCCAGCAGCAATTAGCAAACACCTGGTGGAGCTGCACGGCCGCTGAGCTCATTATAGGAGCTACTTTCCAGTGAAATGCAGGTAAAACGTTGCTAAACGGCTAACAGGAGCCATGTTGTGATGACTTCCTGAGGAAGCTTCAGAAACACCAAGAGCTTCTTAAAGAGACAGAGTTAAATTATGAAGTCAAATTTCTTTTATTTTTTTACTTTATTTAATATTTGATATGTACAACATTTTTATAACAACTGAAGGCAACAAAGGTACTTATTATGCTTTAAAATGATACAATGTGCCTGGTAAACTAACAATGCTGGCCCTTTAATTAGCCTACATTTAACAAAAGTCAAAAGAACTACATGGCCCAGAAGTTCTCAGCGCTTCCAGTGTTTTGTGCCTTTTAAAAGTTTTTTTTTTCTTTATTAAAGCCGTAATCAAATCATATTACCACAAATGACCATTCTTGTTGCCACATCTTGTGAAATAAAACTGCAGAAAACAAAGCAATCTACCAAAGAGTGGGGGGAAATCAAATAAAAGTTAGCCTCAGACATACACACACCTCAGGGAAGCTGCAGATGAGGGCGTCGTCTCCGCAGGCGCCGTGCTGTGCGTCCAGGTTGTAGTTGAGGAGGACAGCGTGGCAGGCGTCCACCAGGTCCCGGCTGATGTTGAGCTCCGACTTGATGCAGCTCCGCAGGTCGTGACTGCTGCAGGTGAACTGAGCCAAACGGACCGTCAGTGAGCGGACTCGGGTCACTTACCACGCACGAACGCTGACTTTGGTAAGAAATCTGTACATATCGCTTACAATGTTGATGAAAGCAGACAGGAAGACGATGATGATGGTGAAGACACCCACTAAGGTGCTGTTGAGTCGGGACTGGACGATGCTTTTGGAAAGAGTCTGCAGAGGAGCGGGGAAGATCTGGTGGGTGAACAAAATAGAACTTATGAATTATTCACCTTCAGATTCTGACTTAGGGCTGAAGCTACTGATTATTTGGTTGTTTAACGATTAATTGGATTAAAATATTGGCACATTCTGCAGATTTTTCATTTAATCTCAAACCTTTTTAAAACCATGTCAGAAAGAATTTAAATATGAAATACACAAATATTCAGATACATTTTTTTTTACATAAGAACAACATTTTATTGCGTAAAAAGCAATAATGTAGTTCCTTTAGTGAACGCTTGTAGCAAAAAGCCCCAAAAACTTCTGGCATCAACATGTGAAAAGTTCAGGCCTTTCTGCTTGATTTAACATCAATACAGTTTAGAGCTTTAATCTCTTGATTAACTTTTGGATAAACTGATCAATAACAGGATAGCAAGCGAAGAGTTTTTTTTCTTTTTCTACAGAATTTGAACCAGGTGAAGTTAAAACCTCGCCTCTTCAGGAGTTCTGGGTTGTTGAAATTCAAAATGTTTATACATTTTGTGCAGTTTTGGGTTAATTATTCCTCTGAGTATGTTGTTCTTTCAGCAAATTGACTTTTTTTTTAGTCTTTATCCTTCAGTTAATGATTAATCGATCACTAAATTAGTTTGATGATTACTTCGATAATCGATTCCATCGCGATTAATCTGATTAGTTGTTTCAGCTCTACTCAATGTCTCGTTTTAGTGCTTCGGAGCAGAACCTCTCCTGCTACTGAACACATCTCATTTCTTTCTATTTAAGGCACATCTTGTAGCTATGAGTCATCAGCCGCAGTGGACTGGACAAAAGACTCATCCATTATTTGTATTTATCTCCACAACTCAAAGAGACGCACTAATTTAAGAAGGAAAAACCACTGGCTTGTGATCCTGGTGATTTTGGAGATGGCACAGAAGACATGTATTCATAAACGTGTCCCTGCTGTGATCTTTTTTTTTTTTTTTAAAGAACGACACGCTGGCAGATCTGCCTACACTGTGGGCAAAATAAAACAAGCAGAGGAGGACGAAAAAGAGGAGCCACGGGAATGGGTGTGTGGGAATATAGACGCATCTTTTAGAGGATGTCGGAATCAGACTGTGAGCAGTGTTTGCAGAAGCAGATGTTTAAAAAAGGGGGGGGATTTGATGCTGAAGATCCAGTGTCAAAATGATACAATTGAAGCTTTCTTACTTTGTGGATTGAAAGACAACAACGAACACAAAGCTATGGTAAAGTTAACGACTGAAACATCCTTTTGATACGAGTGAGAGCAGATTTATATCGGTGCTAACGGTATTTAGCAATGGAGCATTACTGCAGGAGAGATCCACCGATAATTCATCTGGTGATCTGAGCCGTCAGTTTAAAAAAATAAAATCCAATCTGTTTTCTGACCAGTGAACACACCACAAGGTCGTTCCAACAACAGCACTCCTTCATGGTAGTTGAACAACTTTTTGTTACATCTCTGTCGGTTCATACCGACAGAGATGTAACAGGCTATTTGAAAAAACTTTTTTTCTTTTTTCCCACGACATTGGGAGACCCGTCTGCTGTTCATTTAGGCCGGAGGTCTACAACCTGCAGCGGCTCTTCAGGTCTTTCAGAAAGGCTCTCAATAACTAGCGAAGGTTAATTTTCATAGTGTAAACACTGCTGAATGTCTGTAACCATCATACAACACTAAGAAAGGTCTTTTATTAACAAAAATAATTAAAAAATAATAATTAGATTTTACATTTTAGCTACAGGTTGTGGATTTTACTCACTCCAAAGCAGCAGTATACAGCTGAGATGAACATGACGCCTGCCAGGATGATGAAGCACGTGATGAAGAAGCCGATCATCAGATTGGAGCTGCAGAAAGGAAACAGATTATTATTTACACGATTAGTTAATATAGACAAGCTGCTGGTTGAAAACCCATAACTGAGCTGTGTGATGTCACTGTATACATATCTGAACTGAAATCCACACGATGAGTAAAATAAATTTCTTATTTGCAGGAGGAAACGGTTTGGATCCTCCCTGTAAGAACAGGCCTGCGTCGTCAAGACGTCAGGTTTTTGTTGCACCGCCTGATTATGTTTAGGTTCTGATTGGTTAGGAGGAACTGGGTTATCTGAGCAAGATGTCGTTTTCTTGAGCCGCTTCCTACGAAACAAACAAAAGCCAAAGTGGCCCAAAGTGCGGCTAAACTTTTTTTCTTCCTACAGACAGATCTGGAGTCGAGTGTCCCGATTCTGTCAAAGCAGGACGGCTCTGACAGTAAGCCGAGGATCTGAGGAAAAACCTTTGGCGGAGAGAAGCTCACCTGATTCTACAAGGTTTTACAGCTTAGGCCACGAAGCTGCAGCGGGAGTAAGAGTTTAGTGTTTAATCAGCTTCCCCACAACTTTTGTTCTTAATCTCTGGAAGCAAAGATGCTCATGAAACAAAAATACCAACACATTAAGAGATATGCAGTAGATATGATTTATAGTGAGTTTTTTGCTGCTACACAATGTTGCATCATAATTTAATTTGCTAAAAAAAAAATCATTGTTGTACATCTCCTTAGCTATGAACTTAAAAACTTCATTTCTTTCAGTATTTCAACACAAAAGTTACATCAGTTTATTTCTGATCATTTTAATAATAACATGCAGGTAATGAAAACCTGAAATTCAGCTTTTCAGAAAATTCAAATATACTAAAATATATATAAGTATAAATAAAGCCATGAAAAAAATAGGGGTTTTGTCATGTTATGGCAATAAAAGGTAAGGAGTAAGCCATAAAAGGCCATCTGTAAAGAAGCTGGCTGTTCACAGAGGGACCATCCAAGCAAACTAATGGAAAGTTGAGTGGAAGGAAAAATGTGGTGGAATGCAAACATTTCTGGGTAACACTTTATTTGAAGGGGTGTGCATAAGACTGTCTTATTAAGCATGAACAACATCTGTCATGAACATGATGGAGTCTTTATGAATGTTTACAACTGTTGTCATGAAGTGTCATTTGGTAAATGATGAAATGATGTCACTTTTAATGCAAAGTTGACACGTTTAATTTTAATGCAACTTTTAGTGCAACTCTGTGTTAAAAGTGTCATTATTTACTGCATGATACTTCATGACACCAATCATAAACATCTATAAAGAGCCATTCATGTTTATAACAGTCTCATGTCAGTCTTAGCTAATAATAATTAATAGTATTAAAATTGTTGATTTTACACATTTATCAACCAAACATTTCCCTTCTCTTGCGTGCGGCCAGCATCTGAGCATCTGCCACCATGACAGTGTGACTCACATTGGCACAATGACGATCTGGATGAAGCAGATGAAGAAAAAGACGAGGGTGGCGCAGGCCACGTACGCACCGAACCTGGTGTCCACCTGCCTGGAGTACTGGAAACAGGAAAAAACAAGCTGGATGTCAGACAACCAACGTAACTAGACTCTGTCCTTCAAGGAAAAAAAAAAAGAAGATTTCCCAATAAATGTCAATAGACACAATCAATAATTACTTGATAAACCCCTTTTCTTTGGCCTTATTAGTCAAGCTACAAATGTTTAAGTAACGATGCGAGTTAGCTATTAATTTAGTAGCCCATAATTGTAAAGGGACTTAATAATAAAATGTTAAACTACAAGAGTAATTTGCCATTTTGAACTGCTAATATTTTGTCTCTGAAAGGCTTTAAATGCATTTCAATTGGATATTTGATTTTGATCTGTTTTAATTTTTTGTCGATTATTATTTTGTCTTTTTGTACTTTCTTTAGTTTTCAAATGGTTTTCATTAAATTATTGTTGTTAGCAGTAGCTGCGTAATCCTTTATGGCAGAGGTGAGAATAACAGTGCTTGTATTTCATGACTGCAGCAGAAACAGTCAAACTGTGGATCAGTAACATTTTTAGTCTTGATGCAGCAATTCCCCCTGTTCTGTCCGTCTGAAGCCGTGTTCCTGCTTTCAGTACTCTACTTCCAAATGTAACCTCCCTTTTCTGTGTTTTTCCCTTTTCTTTGACGTCTTCCAGGCACAGAAAGGAGAAAGCTTTTTATTTATTTATTTATTTTTTCTTTGTTGCGCTCGGCAGATTGCCTGTCACAACCGTTTATCCGCCGATGCTCCGGGCAGCGTGCTTGTCTTGTGTGCGGCCTAACCTTTTTTTCCAGGTCAGGTTCTCTGAAGGTGAGCAGGAACTTTTTGACGTGTTCGGAGCGCAGGCGGTCGATGCTGCGCGCGTCGATGGCCCTGCCCAGGAACTCGTCCACCTCGTCCTCCGGGTTCAGGTTTTCCTGCGTGTTCCTGAAAATAAAATGCCTGAATAAAACGAGATGAGATGGAGTGAGGACAAAGTGGGGGGTGTAAAAAAAAAAAAAGTTTGTCCTCTTGTTTTTATTTCATCTGACCAAAACAAAAAGACTAATCACCCCATGTTTGTCAGGATTGCGAGAATTTCTCTGCCTGGTTTATTACTTTACAGTTCACTGATTAGATATGCAGCAGAAAAAAAGATAAAAAAATACACATTGATGAAAATGCATCTTAATAAAAAAAAAAATCAGTTTGATCCAGTTTTATTGGAAGTGAAATATTGAAGTGTTTTTATAACAATTGGAGGTAACGTGTGCTGTAAAATTGCACTATGTGACTGGAAATCACATAAAAGTGCCCTGTTAAGATAACCAGTTTCTGTTATTACACTTATAACAGTGTAATAACAATGTAATAAGATCTCTGTTATTACACAGTGTAATAACCCTGTGTAATGTTTGTAATGTGATGTATAGTGTTACTCCAGTGTTATTACTGTTATTGCAATGTTATAAGTGTAATAACAGTGTAATAACACTGTACATCACATTAAAACATTACACGGGGTAATTATACAGTGTAATAACAGAGAGATAAACATTCAGGTTGTCTTACCTTACAAATCACTCAACCTGGCATGATTTACAAACTAAACTAAGAATTACACCAAGCTTATTTGAAGGGAAAAAAGTAAGAAAAACAAAGGTTTGGAAGAACAAGGACTTCTTTAAAAACGAGTTTTTTTCCTCTTTATTCTCTGGTTGAAACGGTTGGCGCCGCATAGCTGGAGAACGTTACTGAGCAGGTAGACAATATCTGAGGAAAGACTCCAGCGCCTTGTGCTCATAAAAACGAATTTGGCTACATGAAACAGAAACTTTGTGAAAATTGCAAACACTGCTATTTAGGTGAGCCGTCGCCCTCCAGGGAAGCATCTTTTCTGTCCGTCACAGAATAGATGAATAATAGTCCAAGGACACCAAATGACTGAGTCTGGTTTTACAGTTTCAGCAGCGACTTCTAGTCTAGTACCACACACAGAACCAAGAAAAAAAAAAAAAAAGAAAAACTGCAACAGCAAAGTGCTCTCAGTCCAAAACTACATTCATAGGTTGAGTTCAAGCCACAAGCTGAAGCTCTGAAACTTAGAATCGCAAGCTGGCACTAAACAAAATTGAACGCCGAGCTTCAAAGATCAACAACGCTCCATAGCGACCATTAAAAACTAAACTACGGTGTTGGGAGTGATGCTGAAAACGTCCTACCATCACAAACATAAACATGTTAAGTTTGCTGAGCTTGAATTGGGTCTTCATCTGGAGCCATTTGCTTCGGTCAGGTGAGACAGACACTGACAACAATAAATTTGACCAAACGTTCATTGTTGAGATTCGTGACATTATCGGCCTGAGAACTGAAATAAATGGATTTGGTAGAGATGTGGACAAAGCAACACAAAGGGGTTAAAAAATAAGCAAAGAATCGACATTTCTTCAATGGGCATCATCCCCACCTGTCAGAACAACTGTACTCAAATTGAAGGTTCGCATTTTCCAAAAGATTTTAGAAACTAGTCTGCAAGTTTGCTTAACTTTAATGTCGTTCTCACCAGAAGAACCAATAGATGTGACCACTACTGCATACAATGACGTAGTTGTTACTCACTTGTCTTTGGGATCCTCAAAGCCCTGAAAAGCAGGAAGAAAAAAGAAAAAAAACAACTATTAACTTGAGTACTGCCTGACTTATTAATAAAGCTAAAAAAGAGGCCATCCTTTTTTCACTTTGAGTAAAAGTAATTCTGAACAATTATCTAAAATAAGGCTCATTTGTCCAAATGGAAAGTCTCTTTACAAAAATAACAACCTTTAAGCAAAAATACATTTTATTAATCCCATTAAAATGTGTTTACTTTTTGTTCTGATGTAATATCCAAACCTTAATTGTTGTGTTTTCTTTCATTAGCTGTCAGCAGAAAATTACAACCTACAGAAGTAAAGGCTTGAAAACGTGAGTAATTAATCTATATAATGTACTTTACTAAGCGGATGGAGTTATAGAAATAAACAAACCTGTCATTTATATTGTAATTTATTCAATTACAAAGTCAGAAGGACTTTAAAATACTGAAAACGTACAATGACAAAATGATGACGATTAATATTTTACATATAGCAGCATTTCGACGCAAGATACTCTAGTCAAATTGTGTTTAGTGAATAAAAGTTCTACATAAGTATAAAAGTTCTCGAACAAACTTTGTTATTAGCCAGGTATCAGTGCTGTTACATAATTATCAGTCAGTATGTTTGTGAAGAATGTGGAGAAATATAGAAATACGTTTAAAGACGTGATCACTTGGATGGATCATTTTTATTTTAGCTTCAACTCTCCTACAATTCACACAAATAGCAGGTTAGCGTCAATCAGGCTAACATCCACCGACATTAATCTAGAAACAGTGTCAAAAATGAATAATCACCATAATACTAAACCGTACTTCATGTCTGCTATTTTAATTTTACCTGGGAAAACCGGTGCGTCTCTAGCGCCCCCCTGAGGTTTAATGTATAAACGTCCTTGCTGAAAGAACAAATCAATTCTTGAAACTTCTGCGTATATATTTTTATTTTATTTTACGTATTTATTTTTCTGTTTTTCTCCTGTTTCATGATGGTAAAAGCATTCTGGTCTCAGCTTCACCGTCTGTCTCTCTGCTGTTAACAACAGAAAGGCTGAATGAGAAAAGACGTTAAAAAAATAAAAATGACAACACAAACATCTCATTTCAAGAAAATGTAAAACACCAGTCATTACTTGTTGCTGAATGAACGTAGAAATGGAGTAACATTCAGAGTCGCCTCAGCTTTCATTTAAATCGGGGCGTTCAGTAGGTGGCGCCATTTTCCTCTTTTTCTTTTTTTTTGTTTTTTTCCACTCAGTCCCATCTGCCGTATAAGAACACAACCCGCTCTACGTCTTGCATCCAGACTGCTAACTGGCCTCCTGCGTATCCCGTGGCAACGCACTAAAATCCATGGATAAGATCCCAATGGCCGCCTTCTTCGTCTCTGAACTCCTCATCTTCATCAGTGTGCCTCATTAGGGAGAATCTTATTTCTCTTAACTCCTTTAATCTCCTGCGATTTTCACCCAAAGCACAAAGAGCATGCTAAATTTTTTTTTTTTGGTAGCATATTTTGTACCTGAACTCGCACAACAAACATAAACGTGTCAAAAAGTACAAGCGCTGCTTGTCAGAGTGATGGAAGTTATAATGAAAACCTTGTGAGAAACTGAC